CACGGTCATAGTGAGCGATCATTGGTCGAACACGTAACAGAAGGTTCCATGGTATTTGTAGCTACCGAGCCAAAGTGCAAGAGTAGAGCGTTCGCAGCATCCACAGCAGTAGTTGTTAGGCCACGGGTCGTCCTGAGTGGTGGTATTCCGGGGTTAACCCTTCTTTTGTCATTCATAAACCTGTATAGTAGTTTGGTGTTACTTGTAAACTTTAGCACCATGCTCTCCTGCCATTCGTACTTGCGAACTCTAATGAGCGACGTGCAGTAGTTTCTGATGACTTTGTAATTTTACCATGTAATATCACATGGGCTTAGCGAATGTTGGCTCCAGATCTCATCTCCTCTGTTGATCCATTCACATGTTCTGCTGCGGATCCATGTATTGGTCCGGCGCGATGCTCGTAATGGCACAACCTTCCATGCTGATTGTATAACCCAGCTACTTTTGACTTTCAGTTCCTTCCACGCGTCATTCCCTGCGCTGTGCGACTGCAGGTCCCAGCCAACGGTTGCTGCTATGTTGGGTAGCTTAAAATAAGATTTTGGATGTATGTGAGGTGTAAAGTTTGTAGGAAGTAGAAGTCATGATTAAAATTCACGCGCAATAATGTGCCCCGTCGAAGCACATTATTGTGCGTGAATTTTAATCGTGACTTCTACTTCCTACACACTAGCTTAAAATAGTCCGTAATAGTTCGCTGAGTCGCTTTCTTTAGCATTAAGACTGGCATAACACACATAACAAAATGTCAGGACTGAATGGTCTCGACAGCCCAATGGAGGATCGTATGCTACTGACTCAACCATCAACTCTTCACTAGTCAGAATTAAGTCCAGGAGTGACGGCTTATTTGAACTGTGGTGTCTGGTTGGTCGATGCACAGGGTTTTACAAAACTGCCATATCCATGAATTCGAGGAGTTTCGATTTAAATGATTGTCCATTAGGGATATTGATGTCATTAAAGGAACATTAAAGTCACCCATTATAAGATAGTAGTACTTTGTGAAAAAGCATAGCGGTGGGCGTTTAACAGAATGTTATCGCTGTCTGCTGATGAGTTCGGAGGCATATGGATAACTTCTAAGAGGCAAGCATCACTCGTCTTCTGTGAACCAACATCCCGACCTGCTAGGTGCAGCCGGCAAAATAGTGCGTCGGGAATAACAAGGGAATTTTCGGTAAGTGCCTCACATTTCAAATAATCTCGATAGTAGAGAGCAACACCGCCACGGCGAGATGGACGATTATTTCGAATGAGTGACATCTCACTGAGTTCAATCTCTGGATCAAGTATGTCGTTTGAGAGTCAAGTTTTAGTAACTGTTATGAGGTCCCAAGTTGCTGTTTCATGTCGATGGCGCAGTTCCCAGAGCTGAGAATACAACCCCTGAGTGTTGGTGTAGCAGCATTGTATTTGTTTTCGCATCAGAGCTCGGTTCGCTGTGAGTGACCGGCACTATTTGCACCGACCTGCTAAAGTATTTTGATACGGTTGTTTGCACAGTTGGCTGGTTTGAGTTAGGTACAATTGAGGCTGGCTCATCTGTATCTGAGGTCTGTACTAACTGAAGGGATGGTCTTAACCGTACTTCTGGTGGCCCAAGTTTCCTGTTGTCATGCCATGCTTGGATTGCCACTGATACCATTTCGGGCGCAGCCAAGGTAACTTTCAAAACTCGTGGCCCGCTACCTTGGTAGTTTGTGGAAGCAGTTAGACGGGTGACGTCAAAATCCATGACATACTGCATGCCGTAGAGTTGTGCGATGTACTTCCATGCTTCGATGTCGCGCTTCTGTCGTTCATTACTATCGTCATGCTTCAATTCTAGCACACCATGAACCAGAGCCACATCATAAATTTGGGTTGCAACACCCGTTGTCATGGACGAACGCGGTAAGTAAACAGGAAGCTGTGTGAATTTGTTGCAATTCTATTATGAAGGTGTTAGACGCACACTTGAAATTTCATGGGTAAAATGAGTTCTGTGCTTTTAATGTTTAAGTGGAACGCAGCTGACATGATAAGTACGGTTACAGTGACCGCGTGACTTCCAATCATTTGCCATTTAGGCTTTCCGAAGGCAAGATATCTTGTGGGAAATGCGGATTAGTGAAATGAATAAAGCTGACAACCTTGGAAACAGCGAAGTGATCGGCAAACGCACCCGATGCAAGGCTGGTTATGTGGTATAATGATTGCGATGAGAGCAGAAAAGGTACAGTACTTTCGTTCTCAGCCGGCAATTGGAACATTTTTAACAGCAGTTTAAACTACCCACTGCGGCATCGACGTTGGTGTGGTCACCTGAACTCAACTAAGGCGCTGAGGTCAGATCCAACATACCATCGATGACATGCGTCTGCAGTCCGTGCTGATAATACGAGGCAAAGCAACTGACCACGAGGATCCTGAGTACATAGTCACTGGAAATAATTGTTGACATTCTGATGTTAGTCTGGCCGAGCAGACTCATGCTGTTTAATAAAAGAAACGTGTTTTTCCACTTATTATTTTTAGCAATATCTACGAAAATGATCTAGGTACGTCGTGGGAAAAATATTGAAGTATCGAACTTGATATAACTGCTTCCAAAATGGTCATGCGCATTGTACTCCGGCAACAAGCCGGTCTCCACGGAGAGCAAAATAAGTGGAAAACGAGTGTGGTTACTGAACGATGTAAAGTGCCTTGAGCACATGCAAACGTGTGAGCAGTCGGTCTACGATGGCAAACACAGATCAGCCTCAAAACAGAATACGGCGAAACGGAAATTCAAAATCACTGGTGTATTGCCAATACATCATAGATTCAAAGTGCGTGCTTTTCAATAGAGAATATCACCCGCAGGGCTTAGGCGGCAGTTAAACAGTAAAGGAGGTTCAGCGAGATTATAATATTGGTCGAGACCGGTAGCTGGAAAGCATTTCCTATGAAAGGTAGCGCATTGCATTTATGCCATGGAAAGGGTTGCTGGTGGAAAGCATTTTGTAATATTCAAGATACAGGTGGCGGAGATTCAGCATAAGGTGAAGGAACACTTTCGGCTCCAGCGATGCAACAGGATCTTGGACATGACGTGCACAATAATGAATGTGGTATGAGAATAATTGAAAACGAAATTAACCTAGATAAAATGATGCTGTGCTCCAAGTTAGCCCACTTATCTGTAGCGAAAGGAAGAGGCACGTTCTGCCATGTACAAATGATCAAACCCTTAAAACAAATGCACAAGATGTGCTATTCCCATGAGGCAGCACTACGTCAAAAGTGGCAGGTACGAATTGTGGTATGGAACCCTAGATGCATGGCCCATAGCATAATTCCCAATTGGAAGACGACAAGAGTGATGTGTAAGCGCGAAACGGAATAATAGGTAATAAAACGTCAGCTGACAGGGAAGAGAAATACCTAAGGGCATCCAAACGAAAAGGGGATACTGTTAATCACGGTTGTATGGAGAAGAGGTCAATTGACGAAATGAGATTCATAGAGATTACAGGCCTCAAATTGCAGACTTAAACTAGGTACGCCGCGAATAACTGTTTGATCAAAGGTGGAAGTGACTGGGCCCGTATGGCCAGATAGGAGCACTGGTGGGGTCGACATACAGGATCGTTCAAATGCATCATGGTAAAGCATAGGAGAAATCCTAAGAAGAGATCCGGGAAAGTTAGGGAACTTGGGGACAACGACAGATGTAGAAGTCCCAGACATCCCGACACTGCCGCTTGGTGAAGATGTGTTCGAGAAAGAAGTACACTGCAAGTCAACAGAGGGTGAACGCGCCGAGTAGCTTGCGGTTGGTTGCGGGTCCCGCGGTTCATCCAAAGTGGGTACAGATAGTTCCAATGAGCTGCGTTCGAATGATTTCCGTTGAAAACCCTGTGCAAAGAGAAAGCAATGAGTACAATACGGAATCGGACGGAACAGTTCAAAGAACGTAGATATCATTCGAGACAACCCCGTACTTTACCTAACGGGAGCGGCCAGGAAGGAGTAATAAGTCGTAATTGTGGATTTAGTACAGACGAGGTTAAAGACAACCGTGTGTGAAAACCGCAGGTATTTACAATGAACGGATTAACGCCGTGAAAGGAATACCCATTAGGGAAGTGGAGATGATTGATATAAGGAAAGGCAGTAGGCCAAGCAACTCTAGGTATTTAGCCAACTTACGAGGTCAGGTAGGAAGCCCGAATACGCAAATTCTAAGTCACGAAACCATTGGAAGTGTCCTGCATTATGTTACCCGGTTGGATTTATTAGGGCTTCAAAAATCCCGGTTCTGAAAATGTGGCGGTTCAGAGAAGATAATAACCGGGAATAAGAGAATAAGGGCCGACAGTACAGCACGGTAGACCCACATCTTTACAAGAAAGTGCATGCCTCAAGGAGCCTTAAGAGAAGAAATATGGCGGATACAAACGAAGAACTTTGAACAGTAGCCACTCCGAAGCGATCAACGGAGACACCCTACTTATCCACATTGAACGCCTTACTACTGGAACCTAGTATCCTCATCATTCCAATGATCAAGGTAGTCAACGATGTGAAAAACAAAAGTGTATTAGTGGATCTTCCGGTATAATACGAGGAAAAAAATGAGGGAATCCAAAGAAAAACATGAATATGATAAGAGAAAATTTTGGCTCACAACGCCAAAACCTACTCAGAAATATGTGACCACAAATAAATGGCTATCGTGCAAAGGAAGAGTGGCGTCGGTACTCTTACGTCTCCCTGTCACGTGTGGCAACCTTACATGCCACAAAGATAACTCAGTGCCATAATAATTTAAACAATCTAGAAACCATTCTCTGCACATTTTAAGTGCGTACTAAGGATGTGTGAATTTATAGCATCATGAAAGGAGGCAGTTGAATTTGCAAGTCGACCAAACCGAAACACAAGCACATAGTCATCTGTTCCCGATCCGCTACCAAGGCAGAGCGAGGGTCATAAATGCGTCTTTCTACCCACACAGAGTTGTTTGATGGCCGTGGCCGCATTGAAGTATAGGTAACACGGAAGGCTCGTGCAGGGTCTACATAATAGTTGTCAGTCAGCAGTTGGCAGGCGATTGATGACGCTGGCCGTTTGCATGGAACGTCGTTTCGCTTCACTGGCAGCGCGTTCAGGGTGGCAGGCGAAGTTAGTTGCAAAACGGGTTTACTAAGCCACGACGGTATGTGCACCGCGACCCTCACTCTCAATGGCCGTTCTGTCATGCCCACGTATTCGGCCTTGTAAATATATGTAAATTGGTATAGGGTGTTGTGATCGTAAGATGCCAAACTGAGCATGCCGTTGGTTCATCGAAAGATTGAGATTAACAATTTTTAGTCAAGTCTGAAAGCTGGTCGATCGCTGCAGAGGCGAACTGAGGTACAACACGCAGTCGATTTGGATCGACATGAACGAAACTCGAAGGCTGGCCAAGAATGAAATAAAAACGAGATTTGTTCTACATCTGTGAGTGGTTCTAATTGTCTCGGGATATAAAATAAGCTTGTGTTCTACGAATAACAGATTTCTGATCGAGGCCCAGACTTTGACTTTTTGCTTCACGGAGGATCACTTGACATGGTGACAGACGTGCTGACGTACCAAACCCTGCTCGCATTTGATGCACAAATGTTGATTCCATTGCCGCATCCTATACAAATGAGAAAAAGCACATTACCGGATAGCTGGAGGGCGTGAAAAGCGAAATGGATGGATCTCGATAGGCTGATTGTGTTAGATGAATATCCGAGATCATATCAATTAGCGATGTTCAGATACTGCATTGGGGAAGATGCGAGACGGATAATAGAAGCCTGGAACTTTTGCGATTATGACCAATAACTGGATCTTTCTGAAATAATCGAGGTTTGATTACTTTGTGATGGCCGATCAAACCTTTACGCTCGCTGCTGCCGATCGGCGAACGTTATATCTCACTTAATATTGAAAGTCGGCAAGAAAAATAAGAGATTTCAATAAATAACAGATGGGATCGCGAAGAGCATGAATGGATTATTGCGACACCGTCAATTCAAGAACGATCAGTGCCGTTAAGATTAAATTCAACAGTCACCGTGAGTACACTGTTCGAGGAACACTGCACCGGAGTGCAGTTCAGTGTAACACGGAGTTGTCACAAAGGATGGAAAAATTTGATGAAATACGAAAGGAAAGGGTGTGGCGAAGGTTTGCAAGAAGGCAAAGAATCGATTTATCAAAGTAAGAAAGACACATCAGGATCCTTATATAATACTACTTAAAGTAAATACCACTAGAGAATTCGGCAATAACCCAATGCAGCTTCCATTCAAGCACAAAGTAAACCGAAAGTTAGTCCGCAATGGAAGAGCCTATGGAAACTGCAACACATGGACTACAAAGAAGGAAGGATGTGGTCGTAAGATGCCGCTTGTTCATCGAACGATTGAGATTAACAACTTTTAGTCAAGCCTGAAAGCTGGTCGATCGCTGCAGAGTCGAACTGAGGTATAACACGCAATCGATTTGGATCGACATGAACGAAGCTCGAAAGCCGGACAAGAATGTAATAAAAAGGAGATTTGTTCTACATCTGTGAGTGGTTCTAATTGTCTCGAGATATAAAATAAGCTTATGTTCTATGAATAATAGATTTCTGATCGAGGCCTAGACTATGACTTTTTGCTTCACGGAGAGTCACTTGACAGATGTGCGAACGGTTGGACAGTGACAGCGGGGGTTTAGTCGACGGAGTAGGGATACGATCCGTTGTGCAAATTAATAGTGGTTCCGCCGCAGGGTTTGGGCGCGCCACTGCGGATTTTAATCGGCGCTGAAATACTTGGTATACGTCATCTCCCTTGAATAGTAGTTGCAGGGTTACTTATAGCATCGGTACCGCGGGTACGCTTTCTTCCGCTTTAATAGCACTAAACTGAATGATGAAGGAAGGTGAGTATCCATTATCTAAGAGGGTGTGAGTTATCAAGCGTAACTCTGGTTACAGTGTGTCAGCAGTGCATATTTTGCTAAAGCTTATTTGTACCGCTGTAGAAGTTCAAATACTGTCTCTTCCACATTGGCTTGCGGTAAACTGATCTGCATATTGTACCGTCACTCCCACGTTCTAGTAGGATGTCAAAGAACGACAGAGCGTCATGTTCTTCACGTTCCGTTTACACTCTGATGTTTGGATGTAGATCATTCCGCTTGGTAACCAGTTGGGTTCTGGCCCTCGCTGTCGCAGAGTACCAAAATATCGTCCACATATCGACAGAACAACACTATCTTATTGATCAGTTCTCTGACGTGCTTCTCAAGGTAGGCTACGAAGATATCTGCTGATATCGATTTGAGTGGACTGCCCATTGCGATACCATCCACTTGGCGATAGCCTTGTTCTGGAAAACAGAACTTGGCATTTGATGTACAGAACAACAGAAGTCGTTACTTCTTAAAGCTGACCATCTTATGAAAGTCACGGCGAAACAAATATGCACCTCAATGAAAAGGGCATACACTGCAGCAGAGCTAGGCTAGCTCATGTCCACAAGACTATCGCCAAAGTGTCAGTGAAGACACTAGCATCAAAGCATCGCACGCCCCATTAATTGCAAAAAAAATTCACATGCAGCTGTGGAGACAGCTATGTTGGATGCACTGATCGAAATCTAGGTGCGCAAATCAATGAACACACTCCAAAGTCGCTCCACAAACGGATGGAACACGCGATGGACACATCAGGTAGATCAAGAAGCAAAGTTGCCTCAGCAATTGCGAGCCGTTCGGTGAACATCGGTAACCAGGTAAACCCACAGTCCTAGTGCGCAACCAAAGGCCTCACATTCGCAAACTCCACGTGGCCATGGTTAGCAATCGACAACGCCCATCGCGCTGAGTTCAAAAACAGCTGACAGTGACACGAGGCCTCTCAAGACAAGGATTAAAGCGCCAATCGGAAAACGGTTGACTGTCAATCAATTTCATGCAACCTTATTCGGGTTCGTTAGTTATTTACATGTACGTGGCTGACGAGAATGCACGAAATAACAGTGTTATTCCATTATCTTCGGCTTTTGATATGCTAATCTGGAAGGATTTTCAGTTGTCGTAGCAAGTGCGCTGCACTGTCGCAGTGGCTAGTTCGCATATGTACTCGTAAGTGCACGTTGTCGATTATTTGTCACTGTCTGCTGACTGATAACCCAAGCCTGGCTATGCTTGGTGCGAACGCTAACAAGGTGTCGACCTGTTGAATACAACCATTTCAATTTATGACTCCAGAAGATTGTTGGCCGTTGCTTAGGGGGGGCAGGATGCACGGTTATCGTGACAACGCCATGCTCAATAAGTGGTTCCATCAAGTGTAGAGTGAGATAAGGACCAGTCATTACCATGTGTATGAGTGGCACGAATGTTCGTTCCAGTTCGTAAGCATGCTATGCATGCTGGAAGAGTGTGGGCCGGCTCAGAATCAACCGTTACTCTCATCTGTGGTGGTGTCTACCGAGAG